ATATTATTTAATATTCGTTTTTATAAAATCTTGGCACTGTTGATTTAAAAAAATAAGTAAATCAAGTATGACAAACTGTAGGCTGGCGCCGAACATAATTTACATCGCCTCAACGGCAAGGCAATAGCCTCGAGATGCATATAATGGATATGGATGGCGCCATGATATTGTAATGCGACATAACATAATTATGTATGCACAATTTTAACCTACACAGAATTGACCGCGGTCTCCAAGCTACCAAAAGTCAGCTCCAAGAGATCCAATTTCCCTTCAGTTCTCTCCCTCCTTGCCAGTTACTAACTCAAAACCTTATCCATCTTCTAGCAAGTCCCACATATCCGCAGTCTAGTTCGTGACACAAATCTTTTTATCATACATTTTTAATGTTAATCGTTAATGATTATTCACTTTTATCATTGAATAATTATTTTATAGACGTTTCGGATCCCATATTATCTAAGTTTATCTAGTGAACACGGAACCTATTAAGGATCTGACACGTCTGAGAATTTGATAATTTACTAAAACATACTGCGATAAACCTGTTTTAACCATTACGCGAGTCACCTGAGTCACCAAGGAGAACTTCAACTTATTATAATAGAATATTTTGATATTTAAAGCATTAAACCATATTGCGTCGAAACAATCATTAAACTGTACCTACGGTGCTTAAAATTAAAAAATAAAACAAATTACACTTAGTTTCCTAAAAGGCAACATAAATTATTTGTATCCTAGCGATGTATGAAAATAAAAATACAATTCGAAAACATTCAATAAGTCATAATGTCCTAAGTGATATGCAATACGCTTTAGGCAGGCTCTTATGTGTAAAAAAAAATATTGTTTCTTAAAAAAATTACCAAGCAAGCTTAGCAAAATGAGAAGTATGTTCACTTATGTATTGATTTTCATATACCTATATAGAATAAATTTAATTCTAACTTAAATAATTAATCAAGGAATGTCATTGTTTGTTTATTACTTGTAAATTCTTTAGATACCAACCTTTTTAAAACAGACGGTGGATAATAATGGTCGACTAGACTACTTTAAGTCTATGTCATTTAGGATGGCCTGCGGTTCTTAAAAAAAATCTATTGAAATAACATGCCACGTTACAGTAGTGTTACAGAATTCTTCTCTCAAATACAGCATCGAGGTTCAATCATATAAAATGGATTTCAGCTTTTTTTTTATTAAGAACGCAGATAACTTTTCAAAATATAAAAATCTCAATGACTTAGAATACCATAAGAATAATTGATGCTTAAACGTAATGGAATCAATCTTGAAGCTTATTTTATGAAGTGAACACACGTCTCTATAAAATTCAATAACAGAATACAATGACTTAAAAATTTACCTTATAAATAATTTCTCGAATGCTCCAAATAAATGTCTTTATTTATCACATTATATAAAAAACTTGCCTTTGGCATAAATTATTTTAATTAGCATCGGGTTCCAAATACATAAACGATGCAACTGAAAGTGATATAATTTTATTATTACTTGTACGTAATTTCTATTCGACAATATATTTCCAACCCTCCTAAAGCCCACCCGAAAATACATAGTCTCACTAAATCCCACTCCAATGCCCTTAGTTAACATTACATTTTTAGTCTTAAAGATTACTTACTAAATATGAAGTTAAACTGTGTGAACAAGCTTCTTATAATTATAATAGAAAGTATTAGTTAAACTTTTTAATTTTAAATTCTATGTATAGATTTCAAGATTTCTTTAAATATTTCATATATATAATAATATTATATATATAAGTAGTAATTTATCTAACTATTTCTAATTCTAGTGCACTATGTCTTTTTAGCTGTGGTCAGTAACTAACGCACACCGTCCGATTGCTCCTTTCATTTATCGTTATTCCACCGATTGCAAATTCCGAATGATATCTTAAAACCTTTCGGCATTCCATTTCAAACAAACCTGTCCGTCTCAATTTTGTGTTCCCAATTGCATACGAAGTCGACAATTCTTCCTGTAAATAACTTTTTTCGAGAATCATGTTCACAAAGATTTCTATAGGCTATAGACATTTTTACTATTTTAAGTTTATTAATTTTTATTATCATTTCATAACGAAATAGATTATATTTTTATTCCATTTTAAATGAAATGGTGTCTTCTAAAAAGGTTGTTATAAAGAAAGGTTAGTTAAAAGTATTATTTTTCATATATGTCTGTTACCACGAATATCTTCGTTAAACATTATTTGCCTTTCAAACACAAATAAATTCGAATGAATCGAAACGCTCTTAAAATGCACAGCCAATTTATTGCGTTTTGGTCACGAAAGGCATAACAATCTGACCATAGACCATAAGCGTGATCGTTCCCTTTACAAATTCCAAATTTTAAAAAGAGCAAACGACGGTTGCTCTAAAAAGCTGCCTAAATCTGTCTGTGACGATTGCGTGGTTAATAAAATACTATCTTCACCACAAAAATAATATTGCTTTCAGAGGTTCCGCGTTATTGTTAAAAATATTTTTTTTCTTTTATTATTTTTCCCACTCCCAACAGCGTCCGTAAGCAACCGTGCACACTATCCAAAAATATACGCATGATGACCACTAGCTAAACGAACTATATTATTCGTTCGTAAACAAATAATGAGATAAAAACTTTTTATGGAAAATTAATACATCAAAACTTTTGGCGCGATACATTCTCGAAATACTGATTTGTATCCGCCATGTCTACATATATATATAAATATAACATCTTAAAATTAGCGATCCAAAAATATGAAATATACATGTTGTATTCGCGCCCTCGGGTGCCCATTGACCTTTCAAGCAAATCAAGTCTTTCATCAACGCCAATGTATATGCCAACAATTTCATTTTCGCTTGTTGCCTTAGCGCGACTTTTGCTGTTTCGCCACCAGAGGGTGCAAAAGCCGCCACAACTGGACGGTTTTCTCGTTCAACGTCGCGTTACATTTCGTTTTCTAATCGATCTTGCCGAATCAACTCGCAGCAAATTTTTCAATAAAAATGTGATAATTTTTAATATATTCTGACATGATTCAAAACTTGCTGGGAGCAAATTCAACATCTGGAGATTTCAACACCGGGCCTCTCAAAACTATGTAAATTAAAATTGAATTACGAAAAAAATTCATCATCAATATAAAAGACAAAGAGAAGACAAATAAAAAAATAACTAATATCTAACAGAACTATTTTAGTGTTAAAGTAATCCCGAATTCATCTGATCATCGGCCCTGCACAAGCAAAGCAATCGTAGTCGTTCGTAACTTTTGCTTTATAAAAATACGAATCGAAAATATCTCGACGGCCATAAGTCGTCTTATAGTTAAGCTATTATTAATCTAATATTCTTAATCTAAAGTCTATGCTACGTTAAAATATCAGAGAATTCAGAAAAAGGGAATATTAGGTAGTTTATTTTCTATATTAAATCGTGCACAACCTTTTTGTTCATGAACGCTAGTTAAGTATGGCATTATAGCTTTATCGAGGATCTAAAACGAAATTAGTATCTAAATAACTAATTTTAAGGTACGAGAGGATTCATTAACGATTTTAATAGTTTCAATGTAGGAACTACGGACTGACTAAATAAAAATGTCAACACAATTTAACTTTATAAAGAAATAAAAATAACAATAGTTCAAGTATAAACTATTAAAAAGCATTCATAAGATTTTGAATCTAAAGGATAAAGGAATTAGACTAAGTTTCGATGATTTCTAAATGTCACTGCATATACTAATGAAGAAGAATTAATCTATTTAGGCTGGAACGAAACCTATATAGTAAACTTCTCATCAATAGTTAAACTATAATAACTGGATCATTATATTTTTAATTCACCTTAAATACGATAAAATCTCAAAATACTCACAGCTCGTCGGGCTTATTGTATTTTACGCTAGGTGCAACTACTTTATAAGAACAGTGGCATTTTAATAATTTGAATTTGTACTTAACCTACATGTTTTTTAAACTCCGTCGAGGATATCTACAACAGATCGTAAGATTCAAGTTTTGACCTGAATTTTCGACTTTAAAAGTAAATCAACAAACATAGCGATCACGTAATGAAATAAAACTTTATTGAAACGAAATAAACGCTTCGGCCAACTTTAAGTACTGTTTAGACATTACATGATATTTTAATTGATTAATCAGATTCAATCAAAACTAGTCAATGATTTGTTGATCTAGATAAATTACTTTACACCCAATTTAGAGTTCTCGAAAATATGATTCCAATAAATGTCTTAAACGAACGTCTCAAAAATACGTTATGAAAAATATAATACAAATATGATAAAATTTATACTAAATATAACCCTGTCTATGACCTGAAGAGTTTAAACGAAACACAAATTAGAATCCAAACTCTGAACAAGTCATTTATAATTAAACAAATAGTTCATCTAAATAACTAGACAAATTGTGAATTGAATTATTTCAAATTGGCGAAAGTCAAAACATTTTATATCTTCATAGTAAAACTATTACAAAATGACAGGTTAAAATTTAAGTAGACAAGGCCTGAGTTTTCTCACAACTCTAAGAAAATACCTGTTTGGAATTATATAGAATAGAAGATAGTGATGAACGTATAGGTTGTGAAAGAAACAGTGCATAAATAATGATTACGAATGAAATATATTCGCAAAGCGATCGGTTGTAAACATTGAACGTGTCCTCGAAACAAAAGGTACTTATATTTATATAGATAAACAGTCACTTGAGTTCCTTATACAACCTATACATCTTATTGTAGTGGAGTCAAATTAAAAAGTTAAACTTTATAAACATGTATCGAAATAGTTAAACTCTTGAACACCAAACCTCAAAATAAAAACTCCACTGAAAAATATATTTCTATAAACATAATAATGATTAGGACACTGAATTGAATTGCGTTATTTATCAGTTAGATGATGTGATTATAATTGATGACTACAACATTTGGTGGTATTACGGTCACATTTTGAACAGTAGTTCGAGGAGTAAGTCTTCGTCGGCATTCATGGGTGATCGAGGCGCCAGATAATCGACGATCCTAGAAAAAAATATTATGTTATATTATCTCGACAACATTTACAGCTGTCGAGAATCCCTTTAACTACGCTTATTGATGTATTTATTTCATAAATAATCAACAGACATTTTGTAATTTATTCATGCGACAAAAATCATGATTCAAGCTCTTGTGTAATTTACATTTCTATACTAGGAAAACTTTCTTTCCTACCAAAAGTTGATCAAGTTGTCTCTTGTGTAATTTACATTTCTATACTAGGAAAACTTTCTTTCCTACCAAAAGTTGATCAACGGGTCTGCTGTTCGTATCACCAACTACGATAATACTATTGAATTTTCATTTGAAAAAGAAATGATCTGATTACTGATAAATTATATTATCAAAATTAATGTTTATTAAATTACTTATTCTATTATATGTATCAAACTATACTATGTTCTTAAGCTCTTCTATTGACAGGTGGAACCTACAATCTAATTAAGACATTGTCTTGTCGTATTACATATTTTTAACATCCAGTTATTGATAATTCGTAATGTACGTGTCCTACCAGGTGAGAATACTAATTTGTCACTCACCTATTGTGCGTGGGAGGTGTATTGGTGATGTGCTGCCACGAGTTTTGGTGGGCAGCCGGCGACCGCCGGACCACCCTCACGTTTTCGGCTCGCGCGTTCTGCAACCTGCCGACATCACAAAACATCAACTTGGCAAACGAGAAGTGGTTTTTTGGTGACTAAAGGAACAATAAATGCATAATATATTTTCATCTCACATTTTGTTAGATGCATCAAGTACTATTAAACGAATAAATAGTGATTGTTTAAAGAAATTATAAAAACCTAGAAAGAAGAATTTTCGAAAACGCTAGCAAATAAAATCAAAACCCATACACTTATTTGTCACATTATTTACTTAATTGTATTAGTATCGTAGATTTAAAGGCGTTAAATAGAAAGCTAAACAATAAATTTTTATCCATTGTTTTAGAACATAAAACTTTAGAAGATTTGTGCATTACAAAGCGAGAATAATTCGGTAGTAAATTATAAATTCAATTCCAGACTGTGCTCTACTTTAACTACCACTTACGTTTGTTGAAAACTCTTCCCAAGTACTTGAAGCGTGAAAGATTAAAATTATTATTAATGATAAATATTCTGCAAGTTTGAGTTAAAACGTAAACTTAGAAATACGATTGAGTGGCTATGACCTTTGAATTGTCGATTACAAATGTCAATGTAAGAGTTCGTTTACATTTTTAGCGCAAAAAATCCGTAAATTTTTAAATAAATATAGTAGTAACTGCCAATATACTCTTTATCTGGCAAACTCGTTAAGGTTGCCAACGACTTAAAGTTGACAGCCCTCCATTAGTTTTTTGATGTTGACGTTACGTTATTTAAAGAAAAACAATATAATATTCAATCAACGACGATTTAATCACTGGATTGGAGCAGTGCCTATAACCTTAAGCAGACTACCGTGTGCTCAGTCGAAAGAAGTCGGAAGTGCGGAATCGGTCCTTCGATCTGAATAATATCAAAAACTGTTGTATAAGATGAGAGTCGTGCGAGAAATACGGGCTACAAACCTGTTTTTTGTGCATCAAACTGTCACAAATATAGACGCACCTTTACAGGTTTAATGTCATTGCCAAGACCACTATTGTAGCAAGCATCAAAGATACGAAACGGTCAATTTAATTAAATACAAAATTCCCGAAACACCTTAACAATCCGACGATGTCCAAAACACTAAGTACCGACAGAATTACGCCATCCGACTTGTTTTAAGTGATTTATCCCTACAACACAAAGAACGGGAACAAAGTGAAAATTTTCTAAACGAAATGTTTCGTTTACAAAGTGAAGCGGGGAACTAAGAATGGATTAGTAAGTTGAACGGATAAAATACGGCTCGACGGATTTCAATTAATTTTGAGTCGAAGTCACCGGGAAAAGTGACACAACACTGACGCACTTATTCAATAAGTTATATTGGAGTCCTTGATATTGTTTGGTACCTTTCAAACTTCTTTGACGAATTTATTCCAATTAGGCGAACATCAGAAAAATATTCTATTCATATTTACACTAATATTATAAAAAGAAAAAAATGTTTGTTCTTGTTTGTTATTTGTTGGATGAGCTCTGAACCTACTGTACCGATTTTAAAATTCTTTATATTTGTGGAAAGCAATGTCATACAGCTAATGTTTATGTAATAATCTCATTTTCTAGAATCTCGGCCACTTGAATGTTGCCATTGTATTATCTACCTAAAGTTCAATATTATTAGTGCAATATCTTCCTCACACATCAATGGTGATAGATTAAAAATAATATCATATAAACGTTGACAGGACTGGCCTTTTGAACAAATGTATAAATTAGTTATGGGGCTATCATTTGTGTTTTAATGCCCCCAATGCGGGTACCAGTGCCTGCAGATCTTAGCCACTATTCAAATCTTCCCTGTGGATAGAATTGTTTACCTAAAGAGGAATCCATTTTAGCCTTTGAGAGTGGGCTATATTAAACATTCCGTATTAGTATAATAATTCTGAAACCAATTCTGTTTAAATTTTTTCCTTACGGCAAAAAGAAATACATTAAAAAAATTCTTATCTTTATAAGAAATTCATAGATTCGCACAATAGCAGACAAATATAATTTCGACTAAGCAAAGTTGACGAAGTTCTTAACTTTCTTATTAAAATCTCCAAACTCGGGGCCCCTAAACTTTTGCGGCGAAGATTTCATAGCTTCTCCATTGTCGCTATTATAATAGAAGGTATCCGTCAAAGACGTATCAATATAATTTTATGAAGGTTCGATATAATCAGCGAAAGGGGACGAGTTTTTAAAACAAAATAATCTTACATTAAAAAAAAGGTTTTATAGGCCTTTTTAACCTTAATTAAATAATCTTGATTTTATTAACATCAAAGAACTCTTTGTGTAAGAGTGTTTAAAGAGTTACAATAGAGAGCAATCGTAATATAATAAACCTGCTTTGGCCTGCGAATTCGTCCTCATGATATAGTTACTTTGGACAGCATATATTTTCAAAAAACGCTGTTGTTTTTCGAGCTGATGATAAAATTACCTTGATGATTAAGTTAGAAAATACTACAAAAAAAACAACAAATGTCCACCATCTTTCACTACTGTATCTTTGAAAACTTTAGAGATATTAATTCAATCCCATCCAATTTGAAATACATATGGAAAAAACAGTTCCGAAGTTTACACAAAACTTGTCTCTGGAGTTATAAAATAAAACGTTAACGTGATTTTTAAAATAAATAAATCCACATTTAGATTCTAATATAAAATATTTCATATTCCGAGTAACTTAGTCGGGTAGTGGATAAGCGCCGCGGCCCGTGGTCGTTGTAGTTTAGCAACTTTCGCAAAAGTCAGTCACGGGATGGGTGACCAAAAAATTTGTATCTCGAGCTACTCCGTGCTTCATTAGGCACGTAAAGCCCGGAAGCAATTGCAGTCGTTAAAACCCTCCAATCTGCAGTGGTGATTATGATTCAGAAATGAATTTTTTGTCTGAAAAAAATCATTTCTGGCCGCTTCATAAATTCGTCAATTCTATGATCTGGCCACGACATATATTCTTGGAAACCTATACTAAGGTGCTTACATGTGTAATAAAATAGAATATGTGAAAATAATCACCTTGAAAATCTTAGGTTAGGACCTAGCAATACTTATCGTCAATAAATTCATTACTGATGAAACGAAAAACACAAATAATTGCAATTTCTTTAATCTAAACTTGGAGCAACATTTTAATGTTTTTGATTTAAAAGCCTGCGCAAAGTTCTTTGATCAAAATAATAGCGCGATTTAGAATAATATTCTCGCCATCAGCTGGCTAAAAACTTATTCTAGGTAAATTTTCTAGGCAAAAAACTGCGATTTAAAATCCATTTAACGCCATCTAGCGTAGTTCATATATATTTAAAAAAAATCGCTATACAATAAATCATTTTGTTAATAATATTGGGTAAATTTATTATAATGACAAATCAGATTATAAACAATGATTGCTATGGTAACATTTTGAATCCCTATAAAGTCTTACACTCCCATTTGTATCCCATTAAGTGCTAGTTTTCGGGATAAAATATAACCTATTATCACTTAAGGTCATAAACTACCCAAAAATCAATTTTTATCGATATAGGTCCATAAAAAAGAAGTTTCATACAAATTTTTTCACCCTTTTTTTAACCCATTTGGGATGGAATTTCCAAAAATCCGTTCTTAGTACACCTCTACGTATTAAAGAGAATGTTCTCTCGAAATTTCTATGACCAGCGATTTAGGCTGTGCGTTGTCTGACAGTCATTCAAAAAATTTCCAGCGAATGAAACCTTTGTCTAAATTATTATCCACAAAAACTAAATATCAACATTAAAAGATAAATAAAGCTTGATATTTCCGCAAACTTTAGGCCAGAAGGAATCAAGATATTTCAACCTAGTATCCAGATTCTTATAAACATTTCCATTTAATGAGGTTTTCCTGTATTGTTAGATTATAACACAGATAGTCAATTGTGAATAAACAATACAGAAAAGGCAAGATATTACTTATTATGAAAAGCTTTCGTAAGTTATAATATTACTACCTAATCTTATTTGCGCCTTTTTTGTTACCGCGTGAAAATGGGAAGATTACTCAAATCCCGGTTAAATGAACCGTCAAATTATAACATACACTAAACGCTCAATAAAACGAAACTTGGACTTACAGAAAAATAGATGGCATTGAATTTTTGTATATATAATAAATAGTATATAATAAATATATATTATATAGGAAAATGTCTGTATCTGGGGGATGCCTAATAGTGTGTACTTATTATAAATCAGAGGCATCGAATTAAATAATCTGAAATACTTAAAAATTTAAGAAAAAGTATAAAACGTCACTGAATTTAAGGATTAGCCTATACGTTAATTCGAGAGTTAAAGTAAATGGTATATCAAAAATCCAAATTCATTCAGTGATTCATATCATCGCATCCATCCTTAAATCCTGACAAACTTTTTCATATGTTATATTAGTCGGCTTTTTGTAATATATTTCTTATATTTCATTATTGAGCAATTGCTTGCTCGTTTCGCAATTATTTGTGATATCTAGCTATAAACTGCTATATAATTGTATTTTGACATCCCAAAAGTTGTTTCAAAATCTCTATATGGTATGTGTACGCGACTCTTACAATCTAAAGTCACAAAAATCATTTATTGGTACATTTTTTGCAAATACATCGGTTCGAATGAGTTTTTCGCTAATCTACTTACAATGTTGAAAATGAAATCAATATTGTAGAGAACAAACTTTTTTTCTCAAGAAACTCTCCAAGGAAGGTCACAAAAATTTTATTATCTTGATTTTGAAATATACAGAGGAAAAAATAACTGAACAATAGGGACATGGGTAATAGCTCAAACATACCAGCTACCTAATATATAATGAGCATCCCCTACTAAACAAAATATTTGAAAATTACACTATGTTGCAAAACTTCAACAATTCAAATCAAAAAAAAGGGAAATAATATAAAAGATTCAAGTCAAATAAGTGAAATGTATTTCTTCAAAAAATTTATTTATCCATGTCTAGACTAATTCATCTTACAAATAATCTTTTATTTATTATTGTCAGATGAATGAGTTTGGTCATGAGGAAGGACCCCATTTTCCCTAGTCGATTTGATTCAAAAGGTTAATGTTCCAAGAAGTATCGATATTAATAAGCTAATTATAAGGTTTTGTATAATAATAAAGAGTTCAATAACACGGTTATCTGCTTATCAACCCTTAAAGTATTATAGCATATGCAATGATAATTATTGCATGAAAGATAAAAAATAACTAAAAGTATATTTTATTACATAGAATTTTATTACAAGACGATTACTTAAAAAGCTGGGTAAAAATGTCAGTAGAAATACCCTGCCTAACACTGACTTTTACGCCAGTAAAAAAAATTGTAACTAATATAGTTAATGAGTAATATAACTAACAACCTATGTACTTAATTAATAAAATAAATTTAAAAAATGTTATTTATTAAAAATATTTTTCAGTATAGCATTGTGAATTTTAAGAACAAATTTTCATCTTTATCGAAAGTTTGAATATTTGTAATAATTGATTGGCTGAACATTGATAATAATACGCTCTGTACTAGCGAAAAAGTAACAAGTGTTTGAGGAATTCGTCAGTTCTGTTAGCTCAGTGGTTAGAGCAGTTGCCCGAATTGCAAAAGGCCATGGGTTCGGATCCTACCTCAGAGTGCCAAGGACAAAGTGGATTTTATCAGTATTTTTATTAAGAATATTTTTCAGTATAGACATTCATCATCATCATCATCAGCCCTTTTACGTCCCCACTGCAGGGGCTCAGGCCTTCCTTGTGGATGGGCCATGACCCTCCACGCTGGCCCAATGCGGATTGGAGGGTATTAACGACTGCAAATGCAGCCGGGACCAACGGCTTAACGTGCCTTCTGAAGCACGGAGTAGCTCGAGATAATAATTTTTTGGTCACCCATCCCGTGACCGACCCTTGCGAAAGTTGCTTAACGATAACGATCGTGGGCCGCGGCGCTTATCCACTACGCCACCGAGCTATAGAAGAATTGTATAGACATTGTGAGTTTAAAATTGATCAAATATAATTAATTCGTATACTACTTTTTTTGAAAAATGATTTATATTGTAAAAACTCTCAGGAGGTCAGCACCTCTTGATATACTTAACATGGTTTATATCTCGTTATTTCAATCTCTTCTGATTTATTGCATAGGTGTATGGGGCTGTTCAAGTAAGACCTGCTTCATCGAACTGGAAAGATCCCAACGTGCAGTATTAAAAGTCATGCTCAAAAAACCTTACCGGTACCCTACGGACACACTTTATAAGGAAGCCAAAATACTCCGAGTCCGACAACTATACGTGTGGAGAGTTGTATGCGCCCAACATAAAAAGGTTATAATTCCCCCGATTACTATACATTGGCTAAAAAGCGTATATTTAAAGTCCCGGTGCCTAGTGTTTGCACCGCATTTGCCCAACGTTTCCCTTCTTATTCCCACCCTTATATCTACAATAGGATTAACCGTAAAAGCCCGGTACATAGTTTCTGCTTGCGTAAAGCTAAATTAGTTACCAAAAACTAATTGATGGGTCTGAACTATACAGAGACTGAACACCTCCTTCCATCATCTGGCTGACATGCTGCCTTCAGCATCATTCTTATTCTTCACATCACACTTTACACTACACAACCTACACACCTTTGTACACCCAAATGGACGATCGCATTTATTGTTTACTTTGCTAAATTGTTTAAGTATTGATAATAAACTTTGATTTATAAATTTGCCTAATGATCTAATAATTCTTTGAGTTAAGTGTGCAATTATTATTTTGTTTTCTTTTGGTGTTCACCTTCGGTCACTACTGTTCAGGTCTGCGAGCCTAGTGTAGTGATCACTGCCTAGCTAAGTAACTATACACTGTTTAGAAAATAAATAATATTTGATTTGATTTATTTTAGTGCAATTAAAAAATTGGTGTTGTGGGGTATAATTATTATATTTTTAATAAAGATACAAAGCATCCAATTAATTACTCGTGATAATATAAATAAATAACATTATAAAGCTACTCCGATATCACGTAGATGTTATTATTTACTACACTTACTTGATCTTGGACTGCCTCATAAACTGTTGGATTTTCCTCGCTGCTTGGTTTTGCCGCCTTTGAGAATACGTCCTCCTGTACACAATTATTCCACAATTTAACTATATATTCTCCCTTGTGGGATAGACAAAGACATAAACCAATATCATAAAATCCTGCATTCGCACATGTCTTTAGTTTAAAAGACTTTTATAACAGCTTTTTATAACACTCGTCAGTTTTTATAGCTTCTAAGATTACATTTCAATAATACGTGATCAATATTATACTAAGAGTTGCGTCTTACACTCGTATCTATAGTATAATAGAAGTAAATACATGGGTAAAAGTCATAACTTAAGCTAATGTTTGTAGTAAACAAGCAAATTCTTGTTTGATTAAGAAGATTAGATGATGAAGTTAGAACTCTTGAAAGTTAGAATACTATTATTGTTAGCTATTGACAGTTTTTATTCCAATGTCTTAATAAAAAATACTCAGTTTCGGTCGAAATCGAAAAGAAATCATATTCAGATACTAATTTTTAATTTTCTTTTTCAGAAACCGAGACAAGCCGAAGATACTGGATTCGTTTAGGTAACTAAATATACAATACTTACTTGATAGGCGTATTGCACATACGACGCGCTCGCATAGAACGGTAGCCGCGCTGGATCACCGTCGCTGCCGCATGCATTTGCTTCAAGTATGCGAACTAAACAAAATAGAAATTGACAGAACTATTTTTTATTCTAAACTTCAATCATTTGATGCGTATTGTGAAGACGCACATAACAACAATAATATGAATGATAATACACTAAAAATGAAATAATAATTATTGGTATTGTGTTATATGATGCCATCCTGGACACAACACGGTTATAAGCTGCAGGCAGAGCCCGCACTGTTCTGCTGAATTCAGTCATGGCATCATGGAGCATATTATCAATAATTTTACCAAGGTATCACGTCTATGCAATACAAATAAAATTTCAATATATAATGAAAACAATACTGACTGTATAAAATAAATATATATAAACAATACCAAGGAAATTGACAACCTAGTTAAACTCTTACCAATTAAAAGCAAATAACTCGGGAGAAGTTCTAATTGTAATTGATTCGAAATTAATTTTATAAATCTCTATCTATAGAGTGATCTTATTTAATCTCATATTAACTTATTCAAACCTACGATAAAAAATAACGATATGTTTGTTCGTGAGATAATACAAACAAAGCAAATATCTTTTTTGAGTATTAGTATCATAATTTGCGTCATGTAATATATAGAATCACGCTCTTACAATTACATTTTTGTTCGTATAATAATTAGTTATTTACAATCTATTTCTTGAATAGATATACGGTACAGTCAACAATAATTATTTACGAATTTTCCTTACTAGTATCCAAATATCGGTACGCTTAACTCGCTAACTGAAAACGACAACTTTTACATGAGAGCCAAATGAAAGTTGAAATAAGTATTGCGTCCTAACGATTACGCTTATCGACCTAAAACAGCACTTATGATATTTTATTGGATATTGGACTGGAAAATCTTTTCTATATTCTTCACAGAATTTAAGATTAAGCACTTAAATAGTTTTACTTCGGAATCAAGATGTAACTTTTTCTCAATATAGATTTGTTTTCAGCTTATTATTTAATGTATTTTTAGTTATTAAATTACAAAAAGCGTAAATAAACATGTAAAGTAAAGTTTCCTCTGTGAAAATACTTATGTGGCAGATACCTCTCGTGCCTCCCGTATTATATGCCTGGTGCAAATATCAATCTCCCAATAATAAACGCGCACACGTTTCTTAGATAAACACTTTGTGGCCGCAAAAACATAACTTAGAAAGTTCAATTTAAAAAAAAATATTCCCCTAGAACCAAGGAGATAACGAAAATAAAGCAGTCGTATAACGTTTGAACTACAAGTAAGATGTTGTGTGAATAAAGTCTGAATTGGCGTACCTGTTTATACCGCCGATAGCAATTCTGTATGGTGATGGCGGCGGCAGCAGCCCTCCGCTGCAACTGCCGCCCGCGGTACTGCCGATACGCTTTCTGGATCGTGATCGCCGCTGAATACAGCTCGCGTTGTTCACGGTCTGTTACAAAAAAGTTATCTCATCAAACTATATCTATCTTATAACATGGTTTATTTATGCTAATAAATGTAGTTACTGTAATAGTGTAGCGTACTGTACTAAAGAACTGAATAGTTTCTCAAAATACACGTTTTTTCTTCTCGTATTAAAAAAGTCAGCGATACTTGTTCCAATGGTAAAAATTGAGAAATCCCACCTTTTATTTATACAGACTAAAACGACAATAAATTATGTGTTTATTTGGTATGACAATATTATAATTACTTTAACATTAACCGAAGCAATATATTCGTGAAGTTATATGTTAATGTAATAATAATATCAGAGTTTGGACAAGATGGAAAGATGAAGTTGAGGGCAAAATAAAAGGAGTAAAAAGAATGAAAGTTATAAAATTAAACAACGAAACTACAGTAAAAACAAAGAGGCATAATTAAAGAAACAGTGCTATTTTCTGTTTCTTGAACAAATTTTGAAAGGTAAAGAAATAATTATTTTCCCGAAGAAAAATCTGCTATTGATAACTGCTTACAATATCTGTCATATTGTAAATAAGTATGACATACTACGTATTTGCCAGAAAGTTGTTGTATTTTAAGTATTTATTGTAAAACTTAAATTTATGTTATACATATATTCAAAATTGTCTTTAACCTTTTTTATTTTGGCCTCTAGATGAGAGCAATATAGTTGTTGTTAATTAGAAATTAGTTTTCATTATTTAATTACCTGTCAAGAATAATTTAAATAAGAGACTTAAGCAAAGTACATTTATATTTATTACTACACAAAGTTAGCGCTTACATCTTGCCCTCCTTTCCCCTAAAAAGTAAATATTTAAAATATAAGAGATTTATTATTTATATGCATTGGATAGGCTGCGAAAATACTGAACCTCTTTTAAAAAGGGTCACCTAGGCCATAATTTTGTAGATAAAATTACCATTTAAAGTAAGACTGGAAAAATGGTTAGTGGCATTAAGGAATTCTTGCAATGTCGCAGATGGCGGTGCTGAGATGGCGGGACGCGGCGACGGCGGCGGCGGCGACAGCGCTGAGCCTGGAGATACTGACCCTGACGAGCACGGAGTCGATCCACCACAGTACCTGACAGACACTCAATACAATTAATAAAATCAAACCACGTAAATTGAATTCTTAATACAGGGTTATTCGTTGTTTGGTTAACTCACTAGATTTATCAAAAAATTGTTCAAAATTTTAATATTTCAGATCATCGATGGTCACATATGGCAAAGTGTTCTCACGACGAGGATGTACAGAAAAAGTTTCTCGGTGGCGTGGTAGTTAATCGCCGCGGCCCGCAATCGTTGTTGTTAAGCAACTTTCGCAAGGGTCGGCTACGGGATGGGTGACCAAACAATTAGTATGTCGAGCTACTCCGTGCTTCGGAAAACGCGTTAAGCCTTGGATCCCGGCTGCATTTGCAGTCATTAACACCCTCCAATCCGCATTAAGCCAGTGAGAAAGTTCATGGCCCATCCTTCTTAACCATCTATAAGGAAGGCCTGACTTCATGCAGTGGGGACGTAAAAGTGCTGATGGTGGTAGTGATGATGGTTTATTTCTGAGTCAGAACAGTACAATATTACAAATGACCTGTACGTATTATCGCAGAACTCGAAACTGAATTCAGTGTTGAAGGTGGTAGTGTCGTCGAGGAGTGGCACCATGAGGGTGTCCTCGCCGCCGCCGGAGCTGCCATCCAGCCCGCAACCCGATAGCAACGATGAACTTTCGTTCTATGAAAAAGCAAACAACAATCTATAGAGTTAATATAAAAAGAAAAAAATATGAAGTAACGCGCAGATTCATGTTGAAATCAATTAAATCAGTCTTGCGTACGTTTGATTATATTTTAATCTAACAACAAACGAACTAACGAAACAAATATGATTATGGCCTTCATTTTTTTTTATTATTTTGGTATCAAAGACTCATTTTGGTTAGTAAAAAAATCGATCATTTACTAACCAAATGTGTTGTGTATGATTAAAGTGCTTTACAGATCAACAGCACCTTGTTAACAAAGCGTCTTTAAAACTTTATAAACAAACCATACAGATGTGATATATAGCAGAACTATATTATGTAATGAATATTCTGAGAAATCTACTATGATTAAGCTAACAGGCAAATCACTTCACTCATTTAAAAATTTTGTCAGTCGGCCCACCATGTCCACTATCATTACCAGATATGCGGCTTCTTATTTAATACATACAATAGTTATTTTGATTTCTTACCTTCTCTATTAGTGATTAAAAACTAACCTTTATCCGTTCTGGCATGGCAGCTATAATCTGCTCCGCAAGCGTAAACACACGGTCATCCTGTTCCCCTGAAAGTTTTTGATGATGAGGAACCTCATAACATATTACTATATCTAGTTAAAGAGTCACATTTCCATTAACACTGAAGTCGATGACGTAGATAGCTTTTAAATTGAATCTTAAACAGATTTTGAAGGCAAATAAATATCCAGATATATAAATATTAAATACACAAATATTCCTATCACAATGACAGAATTTTTAAATCATTCAGCGAAATTAATAATGAAGTAATAAAATATTTTAATTAAGTGAATCCAACGTTGATCAATAGATTTGAGCGTTTATAAAAAAACATTATGTAAATATTAATATATTCAAAATTATTGTAGTAGGTACCTATATATCAATCTCAAATTAAAAAACCTTTGGAGTTAATATTAATGTAATATAGCACGTAAAATTTCTCAGAAATAACTTTTACATAACAGAAAATCAAAAGAGTAACATTCAAATTATGAGTGACGGATATTCATTATCTATAAAATGAATATCCGTCATCTCATAGAATTATATACCTATTATAAAAAAAAACTCTTACCTACCTTACTTTAATATTATACTGCAAACTACACATAAAAAGCTGTCAATAAATATTGTTCACATGCAAGCAATTTAGCCTCATGCAGTGTATTTTGTCACGTATTCTTGATTGAAATAGTGTTCTGACTTTTAACAACGAAGTCTTCATGTGTACTGAAATTGAAGAAGTAGGAAAGCCAATCGATATTGATGTGTTTGAAGGTACTGTGGTTATGACTAGACCGATACGAACCATTCAAAGCGACATCGATCGACAACATCGAATAAGCTAAACCGAACTTTATTACAGTGTGTAACGGTACCCCCCTTCCCTCTATATATATTTATTTTTCTTTAATAATATTTTGATATAAAATATTAATAAATAATAAATTCTATGCGCGGTCTAATAAGACCTTCTAAGAAGAATATTTTGTATTGGCAGTGATCGTCTAATAGGACCTACGTTGTGTTGTGTGTAGTAACCCTGGTTCTTTTTTGTAGGCGATTGTTAGCAGTAAGAGAATATGTTATTGAGGGCATGTAAAAGAATTACCTACCTACTAAATAAATTCGATTAACCTAACACTAATAAGTCCCTAAGTACCTTGTGAAGTATAGAACCATAAGATTTTAGTAAGAGAAAGTAATGACACTTGAGCATAATAACACTGGTTACATTACATTATAATAGAAATGTCATATTTAACATAGAAAGGAAATATTTAATAAGAGTCAAATGAAAGGACGGAAGGAATAAGGTATTAGGACTAAGATTAGAAAGTAAAAGTATAATTAAATCCAAGGAGAAGGATGTTGTGAAAATATATACACATTATTTGTGTTGAAGGTGCTTTCAGGCCCCGACCACGCCCTCAGCTTGAGACCCACCATCACGGCCCCTTAACCAAAGAAAGAAATGGTAAGGAGTTAGGAGGAGTCAACCCAGCACTAAACTCATAATAAAATTAATTATAGACGTTACATTTACATCCAATGTAACTAGCATGATTCATTATGGTGTATGATCGGGCACACATTCATTGTTCACAGTAGGGTTGTAGACACCATGAAGGCCTTGGCCAAACATAGTAAAAATGCGAAACGACACACACAGCAACCGGGGAACTACACAGGAACTCAACTGGTCCTCCACCCAATGTAGATCGCTACAGGGCTTCAAGGGAGCAAGTCTACCGCCATGCATAGACGCCGATATACTGAGTGGAAATAAGTCCCTAATGGCATAATGGTAAGCCAGTATAACTGACGACCGCCATCCTAACAATATATGAGCCGACTGTCGACCAACAAACGGAGCCGACCATAACCCACATGTATCAGCAGCCAAACTGGAGGCATTTGTTATTTCAATATAAATCATAATTATAAGAATTACCATTGTTATCGAACTAGGCAACTCAGGAAAGGTAGTGGTGTGTTGTAGGGTGACATATGTCATGACCTACGATGAATATTTGTAGAGTTTGCAGTATTTAGCTCGCCAGCTGAAGTACTTGTAAATATTTATGCAATGCGCATATAATTTATTAAGTATGCTGTTATATGTTCAGCAGAAGTCTCTCATATAATGAAGAGATTATTATTATTTGTAATATATTGTTTGGTTATTTAACCAAAATATAGAAATGTATGTTAGCGTTACCAGCATTATTAAGCTAGGCAACACAATAAGGTAGCGTAATAGTGTAGGACAGACATGCGTCATGGCCTATGTTGGACATTTATAAGATTGCAGTATTTTGCTCGCCAGCATGATGAATCTTGAAGATTTATGCATTGCGCATATAATTTATTTATTAAGCTGTATATAAATTCAGCTGTTATAAGTCTCTCATAAAATGAGGAATTTATTGTTATTATTATTTATTAAAATGTTGTATGGTAAAATAACCATATTTCTTTTAGTGAAGAATATATATAATTTCTGAAATATCACCAGTGTTATTAAAGTAGCCAACTGAAGAAACGTAGAGTAATGTATGTAGGACAGACACAAGTCATGACCTATATCTAACATGTATCTGAGAATGATCTCAACTAATGTATCTGTTCTATGCATATAGTCTATGAAATAGCCGTCGTATGTCCGGGTAAAGTCTCTCCCAAAATGAGGCTGTTATATTAATTTAGATATAAAATCTTGTATAATGTATACGTAAACTATGCACTGTATAATAATAATATTACTAGGCCTACTCCGTTTTGCCCTGTTTGTCGTTAATTCTCACCATTTAGGTATAGTTAGCTATCCCTTAAATATAACATTAATATCGTATATAATATTTAAATGTATACCGCTCATATTGACCATCTTAAAGTCGTTAATACAGTCTAATATATCTTTAACTTGTCTTTATCACTTTACTCTAAATATTATTTTTACTTTTTAATATTACAGAATGCAATATAACACAATCCTAGCAAATCTAATTTATTCCTAACAACCTGATGAGACCCTAGCGTCCCTAACACCCACTTACTTGCGGTTCAAGGCGGAGGCCTTGAACCCGAGTCCAACGGAGGATTTTAATTCCTATCTTACCCTAAATGTAGAGTTTTCAACCGCACTAACTCTACCATTGACAAATTCTAATAGACACACTGACTCTAATTATCATAAAGCACTGACTTTGATAAGCCCGCGTCGAACTGGTACGGTATACTTAAGGTTTAATAAAGATTTTTATAATTCGTGATGTAACCTACGTATATATTCGCACCGCACTAATATATAGTAAGGGATTCGCCCTCCTTCTAAGCAATTCAGACCTGCCTATCAAATCTCGCGACGCACTGATCTGATAGCAAGACTACGACAACTCTAAGAATTGCATCAACTATCTCGTAAAGCTTGTGACGAACCCTCAGAAAGCCCGAGTTCTGATTCCGCTCTCGACCTTCCCCAGATTCCCTTCAACTCCCGAAAACTCTCAACGAACCGACAGAATCCCGAGTTACGATCCTGTTCCCGGTCTCCACCGGACTCTCCCCGACTGTCCCTCAACTTCCTTTTTCACCTCTTTTAAAACATCTGCTACCCCCGTAACATTTCTCACACCACGCCTATTTCTATTATCTTATGGTAACTATCCCAATTGACATACAAAATTATTCCTTAGGACTAAACCAATATGAACACTAATACGAATTGCTTCCTTGTTCATCTCCTTTGCGTCTACTAGAATAAGGCTCCACCCATGCGTAAGCGCAACGCCCACTGATATCCCAAATTCACAAATGTTTAGCGCTTAATATTGATCATTATACCTTATCTCCCTGCTATTAGGGGTCATTTTGAAACAATAATACTTTATTATTAATTATCTAAAATACCCTAGCATCTGGAAGCAATAGTTTTGACCTTTTGTCTTTATTGTTATTTTTTTGTATAAAATAGCTATATTGTCCTAAGGGACCAGGACACAATATCTGTCATCATATTTTAACCTTTTAAATGGCAAAATGATGTCCGACTTTAAATAGTTTTATTTTGGTCAAGAGCACATGTGCACACGAATTTCTACGAATATTTCTTTAAGAACAGCAAGATTAATGTTACTTTATTGTCTTTCGGCCTTACTATTGAATTTAAGACATTGCAGGCAACCAATAAATCAAGGAGGTATTTTAATACCTTCACTTATTTCTTCATAAAACCAATTCTTTACAGAACATTCCACTGATTTAAGTTGTCAAGCGTCCCACGCCTGCACCCTCAACATGTGTCTCAACATTGTAGTAATTTAAGGCAATCAGTACTACCTGCCCTCGATGACCCTATGTCAAACCCTGGCCCGAGCAATCACAAAAACTAAAATAATGATTTCTTCTAAGAACACATTTTGAAACACCATAACCCACTTGATAATTCTCACCCTTACATGTCACTTATAATCAAATATATTGCTAATTTTGATAGTTTCTAAGTGTCCGTTTCTTCTAAAACCCCACTTTAAAATCCATAATTTACTTGACATGACAGGCTTTTTAGCTCCAAATGTTACCTATTCAAAAATGTGTTATTTATCCAAGTCAATTTCTACATGTAACGAAATATTTGAAGTCGTGATTCTTTCCCGGAATCCACCTTTAAAATCCCATCCAGCACGACAATTTATTAGGCTAAAATTATTAATAAATAATCATGCATTTTGCTTTATTTATCGAATTATTGTGGTGTGTTCCGTCACAATCGCCCCCTAAATTATGACGTAGTTTATCGAAGTTATAATTTAACCCAATAAAGATGGAACCAACACAATTAATAGATTTAACCGACTTAACCTAGACAAGAATCGTATTTTCCTTTCAGTATCTCTATACTATTTCAACTAATTCTAATACTTTATACTCGCCCCCTGATCAGTTAAATATCTTTTATTTTTCAGTACCCTACCTACATTTGAAATTCCACTGAATTAATAACGTTATTTTCAGATGAGGTATAATTAGTTTGATAACC